AATCCAGAAGTGAAAAAAGATATTTAGATAGATTACATGATCAGTACCTACATGTACTGGTCCCTGCCAATAAAGCAGGTAACAACATTGCATGTTTTAATATTGACCCTCAATCTCTTAATACTCGACTTTAACATGGATCTGATACATTTAATCCACTCTGACAAAGTGTTCTTCTTTTTCATGTCTGGCAAACCGTCTGGCGTAATTTCTAAAGAATTTCTTTAAAAAAATTCTTAAAGAATTTTTTTCTGTATCATCATAAGCCATAAAAAGATAAAACATTTAAAAAGTGGGGGTTTTTATCTAACGACTAAGTGGGACCTCGCAGTACAGTTAAAGTGTGTAACGACTTTGTGACCTTTACTGTGATCTGTATGCTTAAAGAAGCTTTTTAACTTTTGCAATAACTTTTAAACCATAGGAGAAAGAGACTTCATATTTAGTATAGCTGCCCGCATGGCGCAGTGGTTAGAGCGTCTGCTTTAGAGTCGAGAAGTAAAGGGTTGATCTTTACGTCGCGGGTTCGAATCCCACTGTGGGACGTGGAGACCTTTCTTTCGGATGAGAGCACCTGTCCTTCGGATGAGACCGTATAAAGCGAGATCCAGTGTCGCAGGAGGTGCTGGCACGAAAAAGACCCCTCCCTGCTCAATGGCCTTGAGTTGCTGAGTATAGGACAAAATTTGCAGCTCTCCACCGGCAAGTGGTGGCGTCTGCATATGAGTGAAAGATTCTCGAGAGGGATGTTGGACAGTATACAATCATTTTAGAATGAATACGCCAAAAAATTTAGTTCTTTCAAATGACGCCAAGGTCATTGACCTTGTGACCTTGACTGTGACCTATATGCTAAAAATGGTTTTTTTGAACTTTGTTGCCGCCGGACGCATAGTGTTTCACAAACACTACTTGTATTTAGGACATTTTTTGTATGATTGAAATTATAGTTAATAACTTTATATTGATGACGATCAGATTTTATATTAAAACTTGTCACGTGAAGCGACAGTCAGGTGATTTTAGCACATTTACCCGCAGTATTGAGCATACCTATGAATTTCACTAGTACAAGGGCATAACCAAGTTAAGTTCTAAGTTTATTTATAAGTATTTTCAACACGCATTGTAGTTTCTGAAAAGTGGTACGATCCTGTTTAGATTCTGCAATTTTCTTTGTTAAAATCAAATTTGTATGACCGAATGCTGCATTTTTTGCTGGTCACCGGCAGGGAATATTGATATAATTTAATTATTTTCAAGATTTCATCAGGATTGCAACACTTTTCAAGATACCTTAGTATCTCCAGAGTTGATTTGTAAAAGCTTTCAATGATCCATTCAGTGTACATGTATGCCCTTGCACTAGATCGAGTTATTGAGACCCCCACATTACCCTCCGACATACTTGTACTTGCATACAAACATACGGCAGTATCAATTAAATAAAAGATATACAGTATATTAATATGATCCTTTTAAATAGAAATAAAATTAACTTTTTGATAAATATTCACTGAAAGCAGCCCCAAACTGTCAAATAATAATTAAATCCTGTGTAAGTGCAAAAAGATCAAGAAAAGTAGCGGGGTAAATGTTACTTATCACTCATTGGTTTGAGGGGAAAGGTATATTTTTAATATTTTAATCATTTTTTGTAATCAATGGGGTATTTTCCTTGTTTTGTTGAAGATTGAAAACATTCTGACAAAAATTTCTGAATAATATTTACAATTTTAGGGTGACTAAAAATAATAGAGTTCATTTGCCTATCATTTCTTAAATGTGGACTAATTTTTATGTCAATGGAACAAAAAAATATTATTGAGAAATACTGTTTAATGCTCTTCAGTTAAACAAATTCCACGAACAATGATATTTGAATAAGTATGTTTGAGATCAGTACCCCTAAAAATGACTGAAAATGTGTAGTTGCAACATATATTTACCATACCAAGTTTCATAGGTTGCACGACATTTCATAACAAGGAAACATGTCATGTGCTTTTACACTTTTAGACTAATTTTTATGTCAATGGAACAAAAAAATGTTATTGAGAAATACTGTTTAATGCTCTTCAGTTAAACAAATTCCACGAACAATGATATTTGAATAAGTATGTTTGAGATCAGTACCCCTAAAAATGACTGAAAATGTGTAGTTGCAACATATATTTACCATACCAAGTTTCATAGGTTGCACGACATTTCATAACAAGGAAACATGTCATGTGCTTTTACATGATAAATAACCGAATGCTAATTTATAATTTTGAAAAGTTTGAAAATCTTGTGACAAAGACTTTCCCGACATAAATTCTACCTTGAAAAATTCATGATATTCTTATTTCATCACTTTTATTGCAATTGTAGATAATTTACCTCGTTTTAGAATTTGTTCATACGTGCAGCATGCCCATGTGTATCGAATCAACGGAGATATATCCACAAAATATTCAGGTGATGATGGTATATTGCTGCATAAGTAAGGGAAATTGACGATTTTAAAGTTAACGTATTCACGTTTATCATTGAGCTTGGTTGTTTCCCAAGTAAAATATCCAAATTTGAAACAGATGTGTCAGACTCTGTATCTTTTATCTCAAACTCAACGAGATATATAGTTTCGATATAAGAATGGCAATAACCATTGTTAATTGACAATACGTCGTCGATATACTGTATACAGGGTTTTTTCGCCCTGTGTTTTTCGCCCTTTTTACACTTAACAATTTTTCCCAGTTTGAAATTCGCCCAGATATTGTTTTGTTTAAGAAATTACACTGTATTAATTACTAGAATTCGTCCCTTTTCAATTTCGCATAAATGAGGATAAGACAGAAGGGAAAAAAATAAAAAGGGGGCAAAAATTTCTCTGTATACATTGTCTAAATGTCAAGTCGAAGGTCACAGCAAGTGCTTTCTTCTTCTCACGTAGAGTGGCGCAGTGATTAGAGCTCTAGAGTCGCGAAGTAAGGAGCTGATCCATTCGTTGCGGGTTCGAATCCCACTGTGGGACGTGAAGACCAGTCCTTTGGTTGAGACCGTATAATAAAACCGAGGTCCCATGTCGCAGTAGGTGCAGGCACGAAAGATATCCATCCATGCTCAATGGCCTTGAGTGCTAAGTATAGGATAGAATTTAAATCTCTCCATCGCCGAGTGGTAGTGTCTCCATAATAGTGGAAAATTCTCGAGAGGGACGTTAAACAATATGCAATCAATCAGCCAATCTTTACATATAGTACATGTAGTATATTTTAGACAAATTATGCATAATATATGAATACAAGAATCGGTCTCCTAAAAAAAGGAGCGAACTTGGAACAGATGGGCATTCCAATAGTTTGTTGGAAAACCTGGTCTCCAAAAACGATATAGATATTGTCAATCAAAAACTCAAACAACTTTTTGATGTCAACTTCAGAGTATTTGTGTGCAATCAGAATGTTTTTAACAAAATAATTTTGCAAGGGATCAATGACAACGAAAGTAAATTAACAAGTTCTATTTTTATTGAAAAAAAAAAACAGCTGTCAATGATAAAGCCTGTGCTTTAGGTTATCGTTGGGAATGGTTGCGTATAGAGTCGAAAAGTCATAATTTTTGTGCTGTTGTCGTAAGTTAAGTTTGTGATTTTCAAAATGTCTTTTTTTCATAATTTATAAGTATCCGCATCTGATTTACACTACTTTCTGAATAAATTTTTGCATAGTACTCTTGACGTTTCTCCTTAACAACTGTTAATATCTTAATATCTTGATATCTACTTGTTCCCCTACCCTGCTTATGGGCATTAAGTAACCAAACTAAGCAAAAGCTAAGTTTATCGTTACGATCAGCAATGATGCATATTTAAAAATTTTAAATGCCATGGCATCTTCTTTAAGACATAAACCAAATACAACCATTGCACAGTTTTTGCATGATGCTCATGTGACCTATAAGGCCCATGGACCTCTTGTTAAATATATATTAGTGAGATTATTTATATAAAGTGTGTCATGTAAAGTGGCTAATTATAGGGTCATATAATAAAAAGTGGCTATTTATACGGTAATGTCATATAAAGCGACTAATTATACGGTAATGTCATATAAAGAGGCTATTTATACGGTAAAGTAGCTAATTGCATTTGAAATCTTAAAAATAACATTTTTATGAACTAAAAATTTGAAACATCCCAAAATATTCCTATTAAAAAGAATGATCTTTAAATTAATTGAATATGTTGCTCCATTAATTAGTTTTAAACAAATTACATAATTAGCATACTGGTAAGGCTCTATTTAACTTATTTATCCGGTGGGAAACACAGAAAAAGAAAAAAGTTCAAAAATTATTTTTTATATTTTCCTTAAAGGACGGACGTATCGACGACACACGAAGTGTGTATCACACATTTGTTAACAAATCCTCTTCTATCACATCTAGAAGTTTCAGACACCTACCTTTAATAGTTTCTTAGAACATTCAGAAAATTTTCGAAAGGGACGTTAAACAATATACAAACAAAAAACAAACAAAACACGAAATCTGCGGACAAATCAAGCAAAATATTACACTTAAAGGTTTCAAAAGGCACTTTGCAGAGAACTTGAAACTTCTGAAAAAAGTGGAACGATCTGGAATCATTGATGGGGTTGCTAGATGTATTTCTAAAATATAAAATAGTCGCCTCGGAATGCAGTTGATGTATAAGTTGTGAGGTCAAGGGCATTTAACAAAGATTTTTTTTTAAGAATTAAACATGAAGTAGAGATCATCGACATTTTAAACATTAATCAAGGTTTGAAAAGCTGCTGATTGAGATCTTAGCTATTTTTTTTAATTAAAAACTGGTATCAGGTAATATGATAATTCTTATGTGTACAAACATGGTGACGTCGAATAAGATTAATAAGGAAAAGCGCCAAGTATCTTTTCATCTTTGTTCTAAGAGCCAACAAAACTTGCATAATTCGTTTTATATTCCGTAAAACAGGAGGAAATTAAACAGATTTTTATACTAAAATATATTTAATTAATTCATCCAAATATACAATAAAATATTCAATGAAGTTGGAACTAAAATATTCCTAGAACAGTAAAAATGCGTTTTTATATATTGTATGATCAATTCTTTAATGCCTGATTAACATGGTATGATACAATGCTCAAAAAGCTCATTAGTCCTACTTTCTAAAACTCTACATGATAAGAGGCTTACAAAAATTAAATGTTTATAGTCAAACTAAGCTAGCAATTCTATCATAATCATTTTCCTATTGACGGAAACAATTATATCCTTCTCTATACAAAAATATAACTTAGCTGGAATTCAAACAAAAATCTAGGTAACAATCTTTCGATTTCTGTATATATGGAGAACCAGTTTACAAAATAATGATTATGAATCAAAATGTAATAGCACATGTTTTCGTAAATTAGTTTTTTCATTGACAGTCATTGAATGCTATTCATTATTCAGTAAAAATAATATAAATCATTCAATGAGGAGAAATGTTCTGGTCATGGCGCAAATATACATATAAAAATCCCTTTCTAAAGGTGTTGGTAAATGCACATGCTTTAAGATATGCTACACTACTTCGCTTTTCCAACATTCTCTGCCTTAGAATATCTCGTTTTAACCTTTTCTGGGTTCAAGCATATATACGATTTCGGCCCAGTAATGCGATAGTCGAATTCGTTGCAATGTGGAAGATTCATGTATCTTTCATCCATTACGTCATCCCACATCATCTCCAGCACTGGCGGGAGTGGATCAAATCCTCCCCACTTTGCAAGTTCCTCGTTGTACCGAAATTGTCTATCAATATCCCCCATGTAATGGGCAAAGGATGGCGGTTTTCCCTCTTTCAGACGAGACTGGAAATCGGCTTCACTATCAGCCCTCATCTCTTCTTTTGTAGGTAGTTTGGCTTTTCCCGCAAGTATCAATGCTGCAAGTTTCGCCATTTCATAATAGTGAGGGAAGTAGGACCACTGACGAGGAATTCCAACAAAAATTAGGTTTTGGTACTCAATGTGAACCATATGTTTGTATATGGGTTGGATACGTTCTTCTTTAATTGTTATGACGTCCTCTTTCAAGAAAGGGAATGAGAATCGATATCCGGTACAAAATATGATTGCATCCACCTTTTCAGAAGAACCATCTGGAAACACAACTGAATCCTTTGTCATTCTGACAAAGGGGGACCTTTGTTCTATATCTTTTGGAAAAGACGGCGGGAATTCCTTTGGATTTCGTCTGTGGCATGCAAAGACCTGAATGATAGTATAAGTATTTTAACTAGAAGCTGGTGTGCTGGCTATTCCATTAACAGTAGCTTACACAAAGTATAACACAATGAATGTGAAAGGAGAGATTATAAAATGTAAATATGTAAGTAATGAATCATTTTTATTTTTAGGATATAGTCTAATGACTGCAACAGTGTGTGTAATCAAATTTTCATTACATTTACAGTTATAAGACTATATCTTTCCAAAAAACATGATTCATTTCTTAAATATAATTCCAAACAAAACAATGATATCTAACACAATACTTGAACAATCGGCCCAGGTGACCAATAACCTTCAAAAGACAGTTTGTAATAATAAAGAATAATGGGATATTTTACTAGAAAGTAAACTCAATCTTTTTTAATATCTCGTACCTTTTTAGCAAACTTTGAAACATGCATAGAAATGTCTTCCCCCGAGTAATGGCAGCCCAGGATAGCAACCCTGAGATTGTCAAAGTGTTCCTCGTATCGAAACTCTTTACTGTGAATAATTCGTCCCTCAAATAGTTCCATTCCTGGAATATTTGGAGCGTACTCGTTGGTGTCATGTCTGAAATTTGTAACAGGAAAATACATTTTTTACTAATATAAAAACCAGTCTTGTTCAAAATTATTTTTTAGAATTGTAGGTGTATATCAAATTTTCGTTTATGAAAGGTATTGATAAATTTTCGCTAGAGAAGTAATTTAATGTGGGACAAATTTAAACATTACTGTGATTTTTGAATTGTTTCAAATGTTATCCATTTGTAGAGTCGCATCAGTTTGACATGTACTTTAAAGACAAATGATAATTCTAGGTTTTCGACATAATAAATATGCACACAAAAATAGGTCTTTACCCGTTACATACGAGAACTGAATCGAACACTTCCGTTTTGATCTCTGATAGTTTGTTCACGGGAGAAAATGTTACCAGCCATTTAACAAGACCGTTTTCCTGGTTCTTTTTAAGTGGCTTGACATCTCGAACAAAAGTATGTGTCTGTAAAGGATGACACTCTGCATGTTTAAACCAACAAATTACATTCATTGCTTATATCAGTCATGTGTAATTGTGCTGTGCACTCAATAGTCAACATACTTTTAAAATCCTAACGAAGTTTTGAATATTACTTGAAAATGTACATTAAATGAAAATGACATCATAATTGAAGATTGCGTAAAATTTGAGACGAATTTAAGAGTTAAATCTGCTCTATCAAGTATACCGCTAAATATCTATGAGTAAATGATACGTCATACTGTTCGTAGCACATTCAGAAAGCGCTAAATCAAATTTACCCTTATCTGTTGAAAAACAAATTCCTGCAAAATACCGTACAAACAAAATCTAGTTCACATGCACTATCTCCAAAAACTAGCAAATATCCACTTCCGAGACACTAGTTTTGATATTAATAGTGTTTTACGCAAAAATGATTTTACGTTTAAAAAAGCAATTAATAATACTAACAAAATTTTAGAATATTTTTTTTTTTTGAAATATGTTGACTTAAAACGACGAGGACTATTACATGTATTAAGTACGTATCGATTACCCTTATGTATGGTCTCAGCTTAAAATGGTCTTCAAACATGTTGAGGTATTCAAGACATTGTTGTCGTGTGATGTAGGACGTCGTCCATTCTTTGGGATATGGAAAGTCCGGAAACTCTTGTAGTTCTTTAGGGACATTTATCCTGCAAAATTTTACACGAAGAAATGATTTACTAGCCATTGTCATTGGTACAGTAAACTTTGGGATTAAGTGTAAATTTCCTTATTTGTGAGCTTATTTTTGTAGTTTTGAATGTGAGTTTGTGAAGCTGTAAATTAAACCTCTGGGCAATAAAACTTAAATGAGATGAAAGTGTACATATTTATCAGGTCTATCTTACTCCGGTTTATCCATTAAAAATCAATTCAAAATGAAACTGGAATATTAATTTTATGGCCCCGTTGCCAGGTCTTTAATTTATTTTTTGCATTGAGTATTTTATCATTTGATTTTTTGACAAAAAATTTGCAAAGTGACCATCGGCAAAAAGTTTACTTTTTATGGCACCTTTCCCGGTTTACCTCTGGTGTTAAATGCATAATCGAAGTGAAATATTATTTTGTATTGTTTAATAACTTTTGAACTTTACGCTCTTATCCCCATATTTTACATTTGATTTCACCTTTCACACAACTATGATGCCATTTTACACATTAGCAATAAGTCTGTGTTAAATCTTTCATCAACACTCCTCTTTAAAAAATGATTAGGATTTTTAAGTTTTAACATAATACTTTATATAAATTTAGAGATTTTAAATACTATAAAACATTTTTTATTCCATGTTTCATTTGCCTCCTAATTATGCATAAACAGTGTGCTCGAAAATTTAATTCTCGCGTAGTATCACCTTGCGACATATAGATGCAATAACCGCAATTTGTGAAAATTTTGTCTGCGCTAAAACTTTAATCAACCCTCCTCTTAAAAAGATGGCTAGGATTTTTAAGTTTTCAGAGTTTATATACGTTATATTTACTTTATTCTCAAAATGATGATGAATAACATGGTGTTTTACATATAGTTTGATATTTTAACTTAAATTATGATATATTTTGTTGAAGGGCTTTAAATTTAATCACTTACTTTCACTTAGTGCCATTGAACAGTGAACGATCGTTATTGTGCTAATGCATGTCGTGCAAAGCGGGGACTTGTCTCTTAAGGTCCCATCTAAAAGACCTGCAGCGTTCACTTTAAATTCCGAAAAGTTAGCAAAAAAAAACTATTGCTGCTATATCATTATTGGCTAAGGCCAGTCATGATCATGACCGGTTTCGAATTAAAGACATTATGATCATCGAGTGAGCACTCCACCGACTGAGCTACCGTGACGATATGATTTTTCTGTAATTTTGCGTGTTTCATCTTTTTGATAGAGCATCACATTGCTTTTTAACCTTTGCTAAAATATAAATATTTGATGGAGATCTCGTCATTACAGGCTGGAATAAACAATCGACTACAAACAAGCTGCTAGATAGCTTACTTATAAGCTCGACGAACGTGTTTCAACACTTTTTCAGACTTTCTAACTATGGACAATCACTAATATCACTCGTTGCAAGTCATCACCAAAGTTAGTTTTAGAAAAAAACTTTAAATTGATTTTAGTCTAGTTCAATTTCAGCATGACATTTTTTGGGGGGTGGGGAGGGGGCTAAGTTGTTGTTTATTGTGAGTATAATGTTCGATGATATTGGGAAATGTTCAAACTGCTAATGGCATATAAGAAATGTTACCCTCTCTTATTTCAATGAAAATGAACAGTATTTAAAGTGAAAACGGTTCATTAAACAATAAACAGGTAAAATAGGAGCAGAGCAAACACGGTCCTCCAAAACATCAGAGGTGGGATCAGATGCAACTGAGGAGTGCGCATCCCCTGCAATTATGCCATAAATCAATACATATACATACTTTAGACTATTGTAAAGAGCAGAGTGGATGGGAAGTCCAAAATCGTCCTTCTTATTTTGATCACTGTAGTTCCAAATACCTCCAGGCCAAAAATTACGTTCAAACGCAACCGGTTCAAAGACGTTACGATTATCACACAGGTGCTGTAAAGAAAATGGTTAAAATAAGCGACAAAAAAATATTGATGTAACCATCAATTGTCGCCCGGAAAATAAATGAAGTAAACGATGGGAAATCTTGATCATCAAACTGTTTCGAAATTTGCGATAAATACATGCGTCTGAATGAGGGAGAGGATAGTCGAGGAGATTTGGAAAACTTCTAGCCGGATGAAAATCGAACAAAAGCGATTCCTTTTTATAGAAATTATTCTCGAATAGACCTACAAATGAAAACAAACCAAACTACTAAGAACTAAGTATACCTGACCAATATATAGGGCTCAGGACCGTGTGAAAATGTTACAGGGATTGCTTGGTCCCCTTAGGCATTTGATCCTACTTGATATATAAACCTTTTACAGTGGTTGTGTTATTGCAGATTTTATAATACGATTTCTGTATTGTATTTTGGGGATTGAACAATTTTTGTCATCTTCATTTAACATAACGAATGAACCAAGATTTTCTGCGCTCGTATACTGACCCCGGGATCCGAGTTCAAATATTTTTCCAGGACTGTGTCAACTTGACATAGCTTACATTCTTTTTTTATAATGTAGCAATTGTAAAATTCAAATAGACTCGATCCGACGTTTAAGGTCATGAGTCTGTGGGGTATTATCGTAATAACATGTTGTTTCTTGTCACAATCAGGGTACAGGTGTAGGTGCACTTTGGAAAAGTTACCGTTAATGTATCTCATCAGCCAAAGGACTTATTTTGAATGGACGCAACATGTCTTTAGAAAATCTTATTTTCATATTTTTGTATGGTTGTAAGGTAGCAAATGCAAACAAAATAAACGTATTTCGGAATTAAATACAGTATATTTTGATAACAACATTTGTTTATATTCTTGATTAAGACATTTATTATAAATATTACAGAAACCTTGCAATTATACAAGATACATTCACTTCACGTAAAACAAGCATATTCTTAGGTTTCTATGGAATATCCAAAATCTTCCTCTTTACAGTACTTCATAATATGGAGATAACAAACAGTGTTGAATTTTAAATTTCATTCAAATAGTGCAGTTCTCAAGACACATTTAAATCTTGTTTACATTTGTTTGTGCCTATATCAATGACTGTTTTTCAGAAACTGCAGACATTTATAGTGCATTTTTATGCAAGTCAAGAGGTGCAAATGCATACTTTTCGCTAAACCCGTGATTATCCATATGCAATTTATGCAGTCATTTAAGAAGTAGGACAAACTGCACAATTTTAACCCTACATAAACGTGAACTCAGTTTAAATAAGACACCCTTTTGAAATAAGCTCTTATTCTGAATAACGTCGACGTACCTTTTAAAACTTTTTTTTTCTCTTTTATAAACTAGGCGGTTCAACTATTAGACGTGTAACTTGCTTTTTTGTAGTGTATTATCATTTAAATAATATTTTTCTATACCTGATTTTTAACCTCTTTACCTAAAAAAATTATTTCAATATTACTGATAAGCGAGATTTCCTGATCGACCAATGACTTTTTCTTCAATGAAACATACACACGCATAATTCGAGATAAAAATTGTTTCGCTTAGAAATAGTAAATGTCTCTCTCGTGTCAGGAAATTTAGTAGTCTACAGTAATTTGACAACAGTTCGCAAAAATAATTGATAATTGATCCGATTACATTCTGAATTGCTTTATAAGGTTTGGTTTTAGCATCTTTCTATTAAATGTACGAGGGGAGATAAAAAAAATTCGCGAACTAATTGAATAACTTCCAATAAAGAAATGATATCGGGTTTTAGTGTTAAAATGTTTTCAAAGTAGTCCTCTCCGTTTTAATGTGCATCTGCAACCATTCTGCCCATACGCGGATCACGTGATATAGGCGGTCACGTGACATGCTCCTTGGCCTTCTGTCACAGAGGCTTAAAATTTTTCCCGACTTTTATGTTTCTTACCATGCAACTTATTTTTTACAACAAAATCAGCCCATTTGTCAGAAATGGCCTGATCTCGTCAATCGTATGAAAGGATACTGATGTCCCTTTGCAGAATGAGCATGATAACCATCAAAACCAAAGTCCTCTGTCTTTTGAGCGTCGTTTATTTCATGTGGATAAAGTATGGGTGCCTTCAATTTATCATATCTGATATGTTTAAAGCCTGAGGTAAACGATATTTTAGGGATTTAATAATTATATTATTGTAAAGATATTTGTCTATTTTTCTAAATGCAAGTTGGCGAACTTTCCTATCAAATTGCTTAACAAAGGACAAGTCTCTTTCCCAATTTGCTTTCACTGAGTAACAGAACAAACATCAGTTTTAAACATCTTCCTTCCTTCATTTAATCAATCCAATTAATGACAAAACTTCTGGCAAGTCGTTTGTCCTCATAAACCGTGTACAAATTATTATAAACTTCTGCAAAGGAATTTCCAAGATATACGTTTAACTTTACAGCCGTTCGTTTCTCGAATATGACTGAGTCAACCATTTTTTGTCACAAGTGATCTACCTCATGACGTCATTTTCACATTGTGACGTCACAAACACGGGGAAAACGTTCCATTACATATGCTATTTATAGAACATGTGTATGACTCTATGTGTGCCAAATTTCATTCTGATCTGAATTGTGGTTTTGTAAATATAGAGATAGTTCGCGAACTTTTTGATCACCCCTCGTAGGTCACATCGATTTCATATTTTGCTTGTCGGACCTGTGCACTCATACCTAAAAAAACTATGCAAAAATATTACTGTGAAGTCACAAATTTTTGTGGGATGGGAGGAGGCAATTTTCTTTGTTTTTTATGTATAGAGGGACGAGATCCCCGAATTCTTGTCCATCACGAAATAAAAATGTTGTATACATAAATACCTACACATAACAATTCTTCTTCCACGAAATCAAAACCCCACGAATAAAAAGTTTTTCCACAAACCACGAAAATTTGACCCCTCGAAAATATGTAATTTTACAGCCATTTAATTGAATTTAAGATATACATTTTATTCTGTATTGTATGTACCTTTTGATTTGTTTTTTTTTTCTTTGTGACAGGTGTAACATATATTTATTTTTAAACAACACTGCTGTATATTTATGGTTTTTTTTTACTTAATTGGTATCTGTAATAAATGCTCTTTTTCGATTCAAAGTATCTTGATATTATCTTTTGGCAAAAAACAAGGTCGAGTAGATTCTGGTAGAAATATGCAGATAGAGTAATTAAAGTAAAGGTTCATTTATACTCTGATAAAAGGTATCTCTGAATGGCATTAATGTCGTTAAATCCTTTATAGATTTGCCAAGTTAAAGTGTCTTTTTTGTCAAATTTTACCCCGCAAGCCATGCTATAATTGTTTATATTTTACTTATAAAATACATTTCTTCTGGAAAATCATTAAGGTTCGAGCAACATATTTTATGAGTGACCAGAGGGTTTAGGAACCATAGGTAGAAGATGGTATGAAAAATTATTAATTTGATTTACAACACCGGATAATTCTGTGCGATTTTTTCAGGTTTGTTTCCGCTGTATTTTTCGTATTTTAATTCTGTTTACTCTACAAATAAAATATACATGTGCACGCTGATTATTTTTATCATGTCCACCTAAACATTTTACCTGCAGAAAAGTAATGATAAATGTTCAATAGCTCGTTTGCTCATACTTCTTTCATCAGATGCAAAAAATAATAATAATCAAATCTATAAAATACAGTGAACAGCTACAGTGTGAATTGCGATACATTGTTTAGTAAAACTAGTTTGATGCAAGTTTAATATCTAGTTAAAATTATCTTATTACAAGGCTAAAAGACTTCCTTTTCTTACCTATAAAGGTAAGAAAAATTTATCTTCTAATACAGTGTATATAAATCAAAATCTTTATTGCATCTCTTACGCCAAAGAAATTATCAAAACAAATACTACTAATATGTACAGTGCAAAATACTTATCTTAGTTAATAAATCTTTTTGGTCCATAGAATATCTTCCATAAATTAAAACAAAGAAACTCGTACCATGAACAGATAAAAATGCCTGTACTTACCTTGAGACAACATAGCCCCGCCGGACCTGCTCCGATCACGGCAACTCTCTGCTTAGCAGTCTTCTGTGACATCGTGTGCACGACAGTAGACCAGATTTGTAAGCCCCCGCTTTATTTATAGGCGACGGGATGGTCCATTATTTCATATATGGAATGCATAAACAGACCTCTTTGAAAGGACAATCTCGCCTTGATCTTATTTGGTATCCTTTATATATATCAAAAAACATACAGAATACAGGCAGGATATTTTTTTTGGCATGATGCATTTGAAAGTTCATATCTATGAATATAGTGTCCTGAAAAAAGAGAAAAAGTTTTCAGTCGGGCCGTTTAAAGTTAGTCGGTCGAAAGAGGGTAACTTAACAATATTTCTAAAGATGACCTTGCTCAAAGGAACTATCATATAAATTCAATTTACACTTTGGTAAACTCCTTACTAGCTAATAAGCTACAGCTAACCTGGTGCACATAGACAGTAGGACAAATGGAAAACAGACATCAGCGCCATATTATACTATGTAATACCTATTAAGGGATGTGGAAGAGAAATTGGAAAACGTTTGGCTCGTTGTATTCGTAAGCATTATGCAGACCAGTTTAAACTGCTGCTTTACTTTTAAGTTTAAAGATTCTACAGCCAGACCTCTCAATTTTGTTTTATCTAAACAAATAAGGTTTCGTGTAATATAAATAAAGTATGACAACTTCCCAATCAACCAACATTATTTTTTTTTCTTAAAAATGTACTGTCAGTGCATAAAAATACAAAAAATACATTCCTTGGGATATCCGTGGGATATCTTTGCTGATTACAAGTTACAATGTCCAAAACAAAATCAAAAACTTAAGCGTAAGATTTTTATTCAAATGTCAACATACATCCGAAAGATACGGTTTGAATGCTAGGGCAAACTCATTTCAGGATAAAAACATGATATAATATATAATATAACAATATTATTTCATACCATGGTAAGGGTAAACATTACTGTACTGTTGCTTTGAATACTTCCACAATTCTAGTTGGAACATTATGCTATTCTAGATCTATTAATACCATGACTTTATATAAAAGAACATCACGGGAAAAAGAAAATTTCAAACAAACTTTGTGATTTTCTTTTTCATGTTTTTCAATACAGAAAATTAAGTTGATATGTATGTCATCCGTAAAATATAAAACATTTTTCTTCATCGGCTTCAAATATGCAACCGTAGTTCAAAAATGTTCCTACAAAAAATAGGTAATAAAAAAAGATTAACATTTGTGAAAACAAGTCAATTGAGTTAAAATTCAAAATTTGTCCTGATACATACATTGTTTGCAAGCATATCAATATTTAAAAAAAATATACCAGAATTATCGATTCGCACAGCAAGAAAAGTTTGTATACACATTATACAGAGGTGATTGAGTTATCTAAACATAGGATGTTTATGGGTTTACGGGTTAAAGTAAGTTTAAGTAAAGAAACGAAAATAGGCAAAGATAAAGATTAATATTTTCGTCCTTGAAATCCTGCGTACTTATGGTACGCTACTCACCAGAATAATAAGTTATCAAAACGCTTGATGATGATAGGGCCTTAAATGTAATTCCCAATTCATTTAAAATTAAAGTATTTTTATGATTTGGACCGAAAAAGAATTTTAAAAAAAATTAATGTAATACACTTTATTGTACAATTCATCACTTTATAGTTTAAAAATCCACAGATAATCTAAGGAATGTCTAGCTATACTGATTGATTGATTGACTGATTATAGTTTAACGTTTTTGCCAAAGAAAAAATTGTCATATCAGACGTCAACGGATATAGATTGAAGCATTAATTTACATCCTAGTCGAAACTCAGTTCAATTAAGCAGTAAAGTATCTTGATTCTCCGAAAGACAAGGTGTCTCGATTTTAAAAAGGATTATCCTACAGACCTGTGAATTTCACTTATTGATGAAATTGAAAAGATAATTCTGTTTTTAATTGACACCTGTTTACCTTTTTGGAGACTAGAATGATTATTTTATAGTCAGATGGAAAGATACGACTTAAACCCGATGACCTCAACTTTACTGTGGTCAATTTTTCCTTGGCAATGTAGCAATGCGTGTTCCCTGAACACCTGCAGATGCAGATGATTTGATTACGCAAGAGCATATTCAACATACTACATCCCAGCTAACACAAAAACATTTTTAAAATGTTTTTAAAACATTTTCAAAATGTTGCGAAAACATTTTTAAAAATGTTTTAATCACGTGATTTTGTATGGTTTTTTAAACGTTTTTAAAACATTTTAGTGAAATATTTCAGCAAAATGTTGTCAGAACATTTTCTTAAAATGTTGCAAAAACATTTTCAATAATGTTTAAATCACGTGAATTTGTATGGTTTTTTAAACGTTTTTAAAACATTTTAGTGAAATATTTCAGCAAATGTTTCCGGAACGTTTTCTTAAAATGTTACAAAAACATTTTTCAACAATGTTTTAATCACGTGATTTTGTATGGTTTTTAAAATGTTTTTAAAACATTTTACAAAATATTTCAACAAATATGTTATCATAACATTGTTTTTAAATGTAACAAAAACATTTTCAAAAATGTTTTATTCACGTTTAATTTGTTTGGTTTTTAAAACGTTTTCAAAACATTCAAGTCGAGGTTACAAAAGTATTTCCTGAATTTTTACTTTTTCTCATTAAATAATGATATATTTATATTTTAAAAGAAATAAACACAAATTATATTTAATTTTTGAACCTTTAATACAAACCCATATTCAATATGTTAATCACATTTAAATTCCATATTCTCGGTACAAGTTTTAATTTATTTTCTTTCAAGTCATCGTGTTTTTAAAGGTTGAAAACGGCGTCTAATCCATTCACTGAATTTTTTAAAGAACAGAATCACAGAAATCCTATGTTCACCATGTTCACTATATAGGTAGAACAGAGCGGCGGATCTATAATCACATACACTGAAAAGGCTGATAAGGAATCTGCCCCTCGGAAAGAATAGCCCAATCTGTAAAGATAAGGAAAATTGTGTTTGTATGAGCGTTCCATATCTAATGTATCTTAAGATGATCAATGAAAATATACAAAAAATATTTTAAATAATTATATCAAATTTAATTTCTTTCCTCATTTGCATTGAAAAAAGCAGAAAAATAATTACTTGAAGAGTAATAGTATTTACGTACACCTTTGCCTTCACCAAAGGCGGGTCTTTTGAATGTGGGAATTTGAAAATACGGATGATGCAACCAACACCATGCTGTAAAGAAATTTCATTTTGAAATCAACATATTGTTTGATGATTAACATTTCACAAAGACAACGAATACTTGAATCAAGGATATAATTGCTTTGCCTTAAGAATGAAATATTCAAATCAAATACATGTATATAACCTTAACGCTTTGTCATTGCTACATACATTTGTACAAAGTTATTGATCATGCACTGGTAGTAAAAAAGCCATTTTTAAATGATCTTTTAAAGTCTATGATAAAGGAATAATTCTTACCATTCAAAGTTAATAAATCCCGAGGTTATTATTGTGGTTTATATGATGCAAAGTCTTCTCATTCAAATCGGCACGGAGTAAGCGCGCACATCTTGTTTACCAGAATTCAAAATTTGGCCTAGATAAGCAGCAAACCACTATACTCTGTAACGCGCTGCCCAGCTGGAGAATTGCATAATAGGTTATCATGACACTGAAACTGACCAGTGTGCCAATCCCTATCCAATGCCTCAGAGTAAAATTCTGGGAGTGGATCTAAGATTTGATGAAGAACATTTTTTTTAAAAAAGACATTAAGAGTTTTATTTAATGCTTTTGATTTTATACATTTATTTACATTTTAAATTTTTTTGTTTGCCTATCCTTTCATTTATTGATTTTTTCGAAAATTATGTCTGTTTAATCAATAAGCCAAAACTAGAAATCATTATAAAATACCGGAAAAATCTTTCAATTAAACAATTACTACAATTCCTCATTTTAACACTATTCTTTCTATATATTCTTTTTTTTTTCTTCATAACCTAAATTTTAGGAAAATCGCAATCATACATTATTTGAATGTTTTAAGAACATTTTGAAAATAACAGCAGCAATGAAAAATGAAGTCTTTAAAAAAAGAAAACACATTAAATTGAATGTTCTAAAATCATTCTCACAACATACTCTTAAAGTTACTAAATGAATTAAATTGTGCCGCAATTACATAAATGTTTCAGAAACATTTTGAAAATGTTTCCAAAAAATGTTACAAAAACTATAATTAAAATGTTTCAATTGTAGTGAAAATAATTATTTTAGTTAATGTTTTAAATAAACATTTTCACTGCCTAGGCCGAAAAATATCCGGAATTGAATGTTTTTAACTAACAGCGATATTAAGAATGTTTTAAAAATATTTTTAAAATGTTCCTTACAAATGTTTCAGAAACGTATATGCAATGTTTCCGATTTACAGAAAAAGAATGTTTCATTTCATGTTTTACGAACGTTTTTAAAACGTTTTATAAGATCTTTAATATTTGGAAGCTATAAATACCCTTAAATGAATTAAGAATGTTTCAAAAACATTTTGACAATGTTCCTTCCAAATGTTTCAGAAACGTATTTATGCAATGTTTCAGATTTATGGAAAAGGAATGTTTCATTTCATGTTTTTAGAATGTTTTTAAAACGTAATATAAAAATCTTTGATATTTGAAAGCTAAACATACCTTTTGAAACATTTTTAAAACGTTTCAAAAATATTTTAGAAAAATGTTCCAAAAGGATTTAATCATAAGCTTCATGAAAACATTTTTAAAATGTTTTTAAAATGTTATAATGAGAAGAGGAAATGTTTTAAAAACATTTTTAAAATGTTTGGTCTGAAATGTTTCGAAAAAACCTTTTTACAACACCAATAAAATGTTTTGAAAATGTTTTGTGCTACCTGGGATGTATACTGTAAACCAATTTTATTCGCGACGACATTATTTCGCGATTTCCTGTGAAGAAACCAGTTTCGCGACAATTAATTTTCGCGATCAAGTTTTTTTTTTAAATATCTGTTGTTAA